TTTTTAGAGCGTTAGTGAATTAAAAAAAACAGTATAAAAACCGGAATGTCCAACTGATAAGGCTGCAAATTTTTTCACTTGTTATTTACAGTAAGATAAATACATTCACCAACTTTTATTAAAATAAAATCATTTAAACTGGGTGTTCGGATTTATATGTCACTTAGTATAGTTATAGTGAAACGGACTCACTGATAAATAAACACCGAGATAGATGAAGAATCTAGAAATTTTGCATACATGTTTGAGGGGTTTTAAACACACTTTTTGCATAAGATTTCCAGTTCTGCATATATTATCATTACTGGAAAATTCTTGACAGATCAGTCTTTTTGGAGGAAAATTGTTTAAAACACTTGAGGTAGAGTCCATATAAAATGCGGAAATCCATTCGACCTTTGAAATACGCTGCAGTTTGAACTCCATTATTTTTGGGGTGGGGTTTATATGGAAGTCTGTTTTTTCAATATACTTGGAACTTTGTACAGAAACTCGACAGTAAACATAAGAAATATGGTATTCAACATTTTTGGAAATTCGTCACTTGAAGGAGTGCAAACTCTATATATATGTGAGGACAGTGACTCAATGCTGAGCCAAATTTGCTAGACGTGGGGGTTTAAAATTCTCCAAATAGGCTTTTCATAAGATTTTTTAAAATTTGTCCCATAATGGGGCGAAGCTTTGCATGAACCTTTTCATATTTTCATCGGATCCAAGTTTTTACAAATACACTTCACAAAAGATACGTCATTTACCATTTCTGGAACTTTATCCGTCAAAGTAGTGAAATAGAGGTCGAAAGTTTGTACGCAACGCTTTATTATTTCAGTGTATGTACCTAGGACTTTCTTCAAGTAATCCCTACTTTGCTTAGTTCCTTCTTAATATTCATTTATAATAAAGAATCAGACACGATTGCACATTTTGGTGGATATTAATAATGTGCGGAGGCATGAAACCCTTTGTCTATGAACAGACATAGCTGGCTTATTTTTTTGCTTAGTTAAAAGAAGAAATAATGAAGCGTTATTTAGTGTATTTTAATGATTAGAAATGAGTCGTATTGTCGTCATTCATTGAAGAAAATTTTATTTAATATCAATATAGCAATATGGGAGAATTATTGTAATTGTTGACGTGAAGATGGTATTTTCACAATAAGAAACTTGAGTGGTTGGAAAGTAACATAAGCTTTTTTCCACAAAAACATACATATTCTTCGCGTAAAAGCCGAAATCCAAGTGTGCGATTCCACGGACAACAAGCTACCCAACTAACAATTATCACTCCTATTAGAGTTGCAAGAATGATCATACGGTATGCCTTAAACAGCATTGTATACTGTAAGAACATTAGCAAAACCCTCTTAGAACAGCTATGCAAGCGGAATGGGCACACCTAATAGGACACTTCAGTCATTTAAGAGGTTGTATAGGGGCTGCAGGTAACAGTTATAAAACAAAAGTGTAAGCCTCTTACAGCCGCTAAAGAACATTTGCGTCAGTGCAAGATTCAGTTTTTGTCAACTATACAACTATTCTGTTACGTGATTCTACTTTATTGCAACCAAACTATTTCCTATGTATTGTATAGACGAAGTGAAGAATATATAACTAACACATTACAGTCATCGTGTTTACTTACATATCGGCCATTGTGAATTTCATACACAGGTATATGATAAACTTCTACACTTTGATAAAGGGCTATTGAATTACTTGCGCAGCAAATTTTATTGTGATTATCGTGCAAATTAGTTACCCAATTTCTACGGGCTTCGTATTTGACTCATATTTTGACAATGATCAAAAGTATGTCTAGATTTTTAAGATGGAAAACTGAACTTATCTGCGTTAAATCTTCCACAAATCCTATATTTAGACACAATTGCACTAATGTTTATCACTTTATATCTGTAATTTCGAACTGAAACATAATTATTTAATATTAAATAGAGGAATAAATGTTTGCCCAATATGGCGGGTGGTTGTGTACAATCTTTACGTTATTAGAATATTTTGGTGTTGCCTGCAGGTGTTATACAACAATTTGACAAATGTCTGAAACGAAATACCGACAGAGTCGAATGATTTACCCAGAATTTGTACCAGATCTATATCTTCTGTTTGAACAGTTGATAAAACCTTTTGAACCGATATGCATGCGTTGTTTGTCTTAAAACATTGGTTAGGTATGGCATTTTAACAAAAATAAAAAATATGACAGCAGAAAGTTAGGTTATGGTGAAGTTGTTTACCAACATATTCAGCATATGTAACAGTTGTATAAGTGCTTCCGTTGGGAGCAATTTGTTGGCTGATGTAGTACAGCACAGCAAAGCAACAAGGCTCGGGTTTGTTTTATAAACGTTAGCATGGGTGCCACAACACAACCATTTTGACTAACTTGCAAATATGCCGTACAAAATAGCTGTATAAACGTTTATGCAACAGTTAAAAATTTGCCCTATAAGGTGTTGTATAACTATGCTATAAGAATATTTTAAACACCTCATTTTAGAGCAAATATGTTGCAGAAAGCAAATTTGCAATCCACACAACATTAAACCAGCATTTTGGTGTTCAGGCAACAACAATAGAGAGCTTTTATGGCTGAACGGTTCTTTTACCAAAAGCTCATACCACTACTTTGCTAGTTGGGTAGTGTCTTATATTCCCAATTGAGCGAAACTATTAATGAACGCAGAATAAGTTTGTAAACCTTTAAAACAATTTTTGCCTCATCATGAATCAAAGGCTGCCTTTCTAGATAAATTCAGCCCCACAAAATTTCACTTTAATGACCGTATTCATAACTAAGTCTCATTCGTTTGCAACAAGAATTCATCCTTGGGCGGTTGGTCGGGACGATACGATGCAACGGCGACTTTCATTCGCCGATGTTACAGTTGCGCTGGCGGGCGCTAATGACGTCTTTGACTGGTCTGGTCCAACAGCGTTGCCAGATGGTCGTTACATGCGACAGAAAAGAAACTAGCTTTAGCGTTATCGAATGGATGTATGTACTAATTGTATATGAGCCTGACTGACTTGACCCGTTTAGTTTTTTGTTATACATGTTTTGTAGCTAGTTTAAAGGGACTAACTTTAGTCGAGCATGACCCTTTATGAGCTGATGAGAAGTGCAGGGTCAACGTACCTGACGTCATTTTAAGTTAGTTTAGGGGGTTAGGTTTCTTGTGAGTGCAACAGTCATGATCCTCCACTGCGACTATCTGGTCTATTGTGGCTTACACCTATTTATATTTCCATCAGTAGCTCCGACCTCCTGAGGAAGTCGATCAACTTGTTCGGAGAGATATTTTTCAGATCTTCTGCTTGGAGTACTACGTCTCCAAGTATGTTGTACCTGATTCTGGCAATTGCAGAGCATCTGCACAATACATGCCTGACCGTTTCGTCTCCTTCCATGCACAGTCTGCACTCAGCGTCTTCCGCCATGCTCAGCCTGCTCATGTGGTGACGCAATTTGCAATGACCAGTGTATAGTCCTACTAGAGCTTTGAAGCTATTCCTGCTCAGCCGTAGCAAAGAGTCTGTTACCTTCTTTGTCAAGATTGGTATAGTTGCCTTAGGATGGGTTAACCCTGCATATCTACTTCCTGTTCATCTCTGCAGAGGTTATTCGTTTAGCAGTATTATATGCGATCCTAATCGCTGACTCAGGCGCTTTAAAGGGTGTGCTAGCCCCACTCTTTGCCAGAGTGTCAGCTGTCTCGTTTCCCTATAGACCTGGACGTCATTTTTTATTCTTCGTTTGGACTTTTGCCCGTAGCTTCATCACCACTAGATTTGATTTGCAGAACCCTGTGAGACAGACAGACTGACGGAACTGAGTGACATGTTTCCTCGTAATGCTTAGTTATAGGACGTATCACTTTGTGAAATAATAAATTCGTTCCGTAGGAATACAATAACAGCAGCGTGTCAGGCGAAAGAAAAATGATGGGAAAATTACAGGGAATATTCTATACAATTTCCTCGGCAAAAAATAACAGGAGCACATACGAAGCCGAAAAAAATTGACGTGACAATTTTTTCGTATGGGCCTCGAGAGCCGCTAATATGAATATCGATTTTACATTTAGGCGAGACACGCACTCCTGGTGTTAAGATTGCGCCCGTATGCGGCGACGATTCTGCTAAAAAAAGAATTAAATGGTGCGCTTTCTTACGTGAGGTCTTTTCGAGTGGCGTACATAGTGATTAAAAAACAAAAAGGTAATGGCTCTTAGAGCTGTATCCCAAAATATGATAAAAAAAGTTCCTATAATAACATACTAAGGGACATATAGAATGCAATACATGCGAATACCGTCCAAAAATTAAACTCAGATGGCGTGGCATATGTTATTTAGTACACGTCCTGAAACTGCCTCATTGAGCCGTATTCATGAAAGAGAAGCATATCCTCGGAAGCATAAGGTCTTCGGAGAAAAAGGGAGAAGTATAAGCATATCCTTGTTTTCATATTCATAATGATTACCTTATCCTCGCGAGGATATCCTCCAGGAAGAAGTAAAAGGTTGACTGGTATTTGTATCTTGAGCGACATGTTCTGAGTTGTTCCAGCTTGTCCTTGACGTGGGAGTTCGTTCACTCAGCATTACTGGCAGTTGTACTCCAGAGCTTACACAAACTGTTCCGTATTTTAAATGGATACAGTTTTTTATCAAATTAATAAGCATGTCATCTTCAAGTCATCAGGAAAATTAAATTGTTAGATTGGGAAATAAAGTTGCTGAAAGCTATGGAAGGTGACCGTAATCCTACAATTCTAGTCTAGTGCTATCACAGCAGTACCAAACAAGTATTTTACAACAAGAGTATTATAAAACGAAATTAGAAATGATGCAGTGTCAGAAGCCACCTGTGACTTATGATGTTCACGAAAATAAAACTTATTATAACTTATAAATAGACTTTAATCAGTAAAACTGTTTATTATAATACTCAAGTTTCTTCTTATTTGTTGACCTAGGTGGCGGAGAGGAAGTTCGTCATTCTAATGATTTCCTTCATCTTCATCTGGGTCTTGATCAACAAACTCAAAGTCAGGATCGCCCATGCTCTTCGCAACATTATGAAGTACAATACAAGCAATAATTGTTTTCGGCACACATACTGTAGGATAGGAAACCGGCGTTTCAGTTGGCCGAAACAGCGTTCAATTATAACTCTTCCTTGTTTTAAAAACTTATTATAATTTATTTCTTCACCTGGAGTAGGATTTCTGAAGAGAGTCATAAGGCATGGCTCAATACCATAACCGTCATCGCCAAGTAGTACAACATTTGCTTTATTTATTAGTTGTGATCTAGTCTGTGAATTTCTCCATATTCTGGAATAATGCACTGATCCAGGACAATTGACATCAACACTTGTGAACATCTCTCTGGCATCACAAGTGGCTTGCACATTTAAAGTAGGTTTCCCTTTTCGGTTGACATACTCATCTCCATGGAGATTTGGTTTCAGGATTCCTATATGTGTACAATCAATTACACCAATTGCTGTCGGAAATTTATACATGCTTTGCAATATCCGTTTGGCCTCCATCAGGTTATGGTTGGTAGTTGGAAACTTGATCCACTCGTTCGACTGTGCAACTATGCTGTACACAACTCTATCCACAGTCCGAGACACCGTTGCTTGACTAACACTAAGTTCCTGACCAATACCCTGTTGACAACCAGGCTCACCGAGATAGCGTAGACATATATTTATTCTATAAATACATGAAAGTGCTACTCCTCGAGTTTCCTCATTCTCAACTAAAAATCTGTCTGCAAGCCCTTTGTCGAACCGACCTAATTTTTTGAAGTCGCGACCACTTGAAGGTAAACGAGGTTGGTACGTTTTAACATCCCTAACATGCACAATTTCCGCCATCATCGTTTGACCACCTTACGTTACGAAGTTGAGTCTGCTACTGACCACACTCAAGGATATCCTTTGTTTTATGAATACGGCTCATTACCGCGATACAGACGCTGGTATTACCGATTGAGGATAAGATATGGATATACTAAAAATAAAGTTGTGACAAGATAGCGGTACTACCCTAATATAGTGTACATAGCTTTCTTATTGTGAAACTTAGTGACTGCAGTGTAATGTAACACCTAAAGCTTATCCTATGTTTCTTTACAATGAAGCAGCTGCGCAAGCAGAAGCTCAAATGCCAGGGCAGCGCAGTTGCTACGAGGATCTTAAAGAAACCTTGTTAATGCGATATTTAAACTGCCTACGATTGTTTCACAATCGCGACACTCCAAGAACAAAGGAGCAGTCGTGTCGACCAGTTCTGGATATAAGGCACCTTTCTAGCTTTCCAGATTACCTCCACTTGAGAATCACGGTGTTTTGACGTATCGTGAATGAGATTTGAAAACAGTTTAGGTACTACGCCTTTCAAATAGCCCACACCCTGTATGCGCCACCTTTGAAGAAATGGCGCAACGGTCGTTTTGCTATTTGCCTAAATTACTGTAACCCGAATTGCGCTAACATGATTTGAGGGTTGCGGGATTGAAGGATAGTATGTGGAGTTTACCTGTGAATCAGAATGTGATGTAACATTTGTCCATACATGTATAAATTACTTTTCCCTGATGTTTTGGCTTGCATAATAGTCGGTTAATGACAGTAACAACATGTCTTATATTTTATTTACCTGTCTCCCAGATGACGGTTCTTTTTCTTGTTTTTTTCTCTTCAACACTGTTCAGTGCGTTTGATGCGATAACAGCCTGAACTGTCCTGTACCACACTGAGATCACACCACCGACTATTAAAAAATATAGATTCATAATATAAAATCAAAAATAAGTCGATTGATCAGGGGGAAGTGCTGATTCGAATAAATCTTGAAATGGCCGACTTTGGAAGACATATGACTTGTAAGGTCAAAAGTTCGAATTTGACGATACTGGGATTCCTCTAAAACAAATTAAACATGTATCTTGCTGCTACCAGAGGGGTTTGATTTGATTTATAGTGATTATATGTACAATTCAGAAGTATCAAAGTATCAAGAGGTACGAAGAGAAAAATTTTCAGCACCTTATTTTGCACAAAAGGTATGCATTGCATAAAAAGTGTGCAGATCCGATCCTTGCGAAAATAAAAACAACACTATGTGCTGCCTTATTTCGTTTAACATTATACTATGTGTATAGTTGTTCAGCTTTCATTCGTTGCCCACCGAGATCATGCTGACGAAACAGCTGTCGATGATTGGTCGTCTGTGGTCGGAGAACGAAATCTATATTAATATTTTTTCTAATGTGACGTTTCGTTTCTTGCCCTCCAAATCAACTGTACTCTCTTTTATGGACGCAATATTGGAATTTTGCGTTGTTGGGTAGATATAGAGACAAGAATAAAGTTTATGATGGTGGACAGCAAAAGAAACATCATTGAAATACAATATATACTAAGTAACATATAAATCCGAACACCCAGTTTAAATGGTTTTATTTTAATAAAAGTTGGTGAATGTACTTATCTTACTGTAAATAACAAGTGAAAAAATTTTCAGCCTTATCAGTTGGACATTCCGGTTTTATACTGCTTTTTTTAATTCACTAACGCTCTAAAAATGAATATTTCAGCCACAGTAAAGAATCAACGCTGGCGGATTTTGGTTCTTGACATCCTTTACGACCGGTTACGATGCCTAGAGTACGGAGACCTGTACGATTTCGTCAACTTAGTGAGTTTGATAGGGGCCGTATAGTGGAACTTCGGGCAATTGCAGTTAGAGTGCAAAGAAGTGTAGACACTGTGGTTAGGTGTTGTCAGGCATGGCTTCGAGAAGGCCGTACGCAAAGAGCCAGGGGCACTGGACGCCGCCGTAGAACAACAGACCGTGAAGATCGCCGCCTAAGATTATTGGCCTTAAGGGACCGTTTCTCCACTACCAGGTCCATTGCAAATGAATGGTTTGCAGAACACGGAAGACCTATTGGCATGCGAAGTGTTTACCGACGAATGAGAAGTTTTGGCTTGTTTTCATACCGGCCACACTGGGTCCTCCCTTTAACTCGAGAACACCGACGTAATCGCCTTGAGTGGTGCAGACAACGGTCACTCTGGGATCAGGAATGGAACAATATTGTCTTTAGTGATGAGTCTCGATTTTGTTTAGGCATGCACGATGGTCGTGCCAGGGTTAGAAGGCGACGTGGTGAAAGGAGAAATCCACAGTTTTTTGTTGAAAGACATGTTCATCACACTGTTGGAGTTATAGTTTGGGGTGCAATAGCTTATGGTTCTAGATCACCTTTAATCTTCATCAGAGGTAACATGAACGCGCAGCGTTATATCCATGAAGTTCTAGAACCCGATCTTTTACCCTATCTTGACATCCTGGCAGATCCAACTTTCCAACAAGATAGTGCCCGACCACATGTTGCAAGAGTCACAATAGACTTCTTTCAACATAATGATGTCACATTGTTACCATGGCCACCAAGATCTCCCGACTTATCCCCAATTGAGTACGTGTGGGATATGATGGATAGGAGATTGCTCAATTTGCAACGTTCTCCTCAGACTCTAGAAGCACTTCGAGAGGAGTTGGTGGTTGCCTGGAATGAGATACCACAGGAGGACATTGACCACCTGATCAGAAGCATGCCTAGGCGCGTTGGAGAATGCGTAGCACATCAGGGTGCATCCACACATTATTAAAGGTCAAAGGACTTTAAAGCAGTGCAATCATTTTGAAATTTTTATCATTTACTTATTATGCTTCATTAAGTACTTATACAAAGTTTTATTAAAATAAAACCATTTAAACTGGGTGTTCGGATTTATATGTCACTTAGTATATTAGTTACGCCATCTTGTAGGGGAGAACGGTTAGAAAGCTAATAAGCAATTTATTTTGAAATCTCGCCTCAATTATCAGGAAAAAAGGATTTTGAGGAAAAAGTCCTTTAGCAACGGTAGAAAGCGTCGAGATGAAGGTGTTGTGAGAACATTCTTTCAGAACGTCAGTTTTTCAATACTTCGGTGTGCACTATGTACATACACGATTACAGAACGGAGATACCTAAATATCAAATCGAAATTTACAAAAACCCCAGGTTGCGAACTTCCTCAGATTCTCCCACACAACACCATTTTTGGTCACGAAATAATTAGACTACACCTTTTTACCAGAACTATTCTATTCGCAAAAAGTGTTGATCATTTTCAGTGTTTAACGCTATTTCATAAATAGGGAGAATGTTGTTAGACAATCTCATGTTGAAGGAATAAAGCAAGTTAAGACTTCCTTTTCGATCCTCACCGGTGCCTAGCCTGAGATTTTCCCGCACGCTAATGCTGTTACGAACATTTCGAGTCTGATTTAATTTCCTTCGCAACATTTGGGTCAGTCCCCAACGACAACTCATACGACTGTTAATGGGAATAATATGAAAAATTGCTAACAGTAACGCTCATGCCACACATATATCAACGCGTTTCAACATTTTTCCATGTTCGCAATAAATTTTCATCATCTTCCAAATTTAGACATAAAGTATCGATAGATTTGGTTGATTCTGGAGGGTGGAACAAATGCGAGTAGTAAATAATAATAATAATTATAATAAATGGACTTTATTTCGTACCTAAGTAAAAATATAAAAAAGGAGAGTTGTCGCTAAGATTAGCATTTTTCAACTTAACCTTTGAAAGAACAAAAAAAAAATATATATATATATATACAGGGTGACTTCGAAGTTGAGTCATTTATTTTAACAGTGAGTAGATCTGATCAAAAGAAATGTTTTTTTCCTTTACCATTTTTCTGGTAAAATTAAAGTAACAAAGTTATAGCCCTTTGGAAGTTTGAGTACCGCCCTGTCTCAATAATAATATTATGTGCTCGTGTTTGGCAACAACGGATATAATCCGCCTTATCGGTTCATCGCATCGGAAACCAAAAAGCGAAACAATTTGGAACGATGTTTTTACAATTATTTTATTCAGTTGTATAGTCAGTCTCAGTCGGTAACGCGTGAGTGAATAGTGGTGTCTGTTGCGTGGCTCAAACGAAATAAAAAATGGCACATGTTTATGCGGATCGGTTTCCCAATCGAGTGCAACCAACCCCTCGTGCCGTTGTTAATGTAGTACAACGGGCTCGTGAATCAGGTGACTTAAGACCTCACAGGGGACGGCATGCCGGTGCTCCAAGACCTCACGATCTAATACAGGTCCGCACTGAAATACTTGTCGGGAGGATACTTTATAGAACAAGGTAAAAATTTTTTTTAATTTTTTTTTATTTTTACACACATATTTTGGCTTATCTTCCTTCTACAATCATTATCTGAAAATTAATAACTCAACTTCAAAGTCACCCTGTATATACTAAGTGACATATAAATCCGAACACCCAGTTTAAATGGTTTTATTTTAATAAAATGTTGTATAAGTACTTAATGAAGCATAATAAGTAAATGATAAAAATTTCAAAATGATTGCACTGCTTTAAACCCCTTTGACCTTTAATACTGTGTGGATGCACCCTGATGTGCTACGCATTCTCCAACGCGCCTAGGCATGCTTCTGATCAGGTGGTGAATGTCCTCCTGTGGTATCTCATTCCAGGCAACCACCAACTCCTCTCTAAGTGCTTCAAGAGTCTGAGGAGGACGTTGCAAATTGAGCAATCTCCTACC